GCAGCATCACATGTTTTGTGGAGCATGGATGTAATTAAGAACCAAGACATCCTCTCTCAGCTTATTAAGCTTTTTTACTTCCTTAGCTATCAAAACAGTTATTTGATTGTGTCTTCTTCTAGGAACTAATTATTTGAGAATCAAGCATAACCATAAAAAAAATTTAAAATTATCTATATTTTTTTACTAACTCAGATGTACATTTAAAAAAGCCAAGAACTGTAGTTCCACTAATTTTGTGGCAAGGAGATGGCTTTTATTTTCTGGAAAGCTGTATAGTGCTAGTTGAAGTGTAATGGTTTTATTTAGTACTGCCATGAAATTAATAAATTACTCAAGTTTCTTATGTTGCAAACAGCAGCACTGATGTGTAAATTTTGGACTCAATGACATTAATTATGATCTCCTGAAAGTAAGTCAGAGATGCAAACTGCCTTCAAAAACGCATTAATCTAGTATATATTAATCAGTATACTGACATTGTATTCCAGATATCCACAAAATTACCTCTTCATTAAAACAAACTTCATGAGAAACAAGAAAAAAATTTAAAGGCATGTTTCCTCTTAAACACTGGGTAGTAACTTATGGTAATAAACAACTGAAAAGCCTTTTTTCTTGTTTTATTTCAGCAGTTGATTTTAAATGAAAAGACAAAAGAAATGCAAATGTCAAAAATATCCCTACAGTCTTATAGGTAGATTTAAGCAGTTGTCAAACACTCTTGGTAGTAAGGTTTTTATGTTTTTAAAGTTGATTTGTGTTCTTGTCATCATCAAATTGTTAAGTGATTTTACTTAATGAGGTTACTTTTGGCATAATGTTAATTTGTCATCTTTTGTTCTGAAACTTTGCCTGTATGTCTACAAGTGTGTCTTAACTGTGGTAAGACACAAGAATACCTTTTTCTATTGCAAATTGCTGATAGAATTTCAAGAATGACTTTGAACTGGAAAATGTAGACAGAAATAGTGACAAATCAGTTAATTAAAAGTGCCAGGAGTTTTGCATAGCAATGAGTTGCATTGATATTTGGACATGATTCTTGGGATCTGCTGTTGGACCAAAAAAATTTATGTTGAAGTGAGGAAAAAAAATAGAAAAAAATCGAACAGCATGATGATGATAAATCTTGTGGAACTGGAGGGAGATATCAAGTTTCCACATGTTTGAAGACAAACATGAGTGAGGCAATAAAAAGGCAAGCAGCTTAACAGTGTGTACCCTCTATTGCTATCACATATGTTGGCAGAAAATGAAAGTACCTGGCAAAGTCCTCAATAAGTATTAATTAAAGCCTAGCATAATGACATTAGAGACAGTACTATTTTTTGATCTTGTTTACAGAGTTGTTAAATATTGGAATGGACTGCCCCAGGAGGTGGTGGGGTCACCATCCCTGAAGGTGTTTAAGAGAAGACTGGATGTGGCACTTAGTGTCATGGTCTCATTGACAAGGTGGTGATCAGTCAAATGTTGGACTCAGTCTCGGACGTCTTTTCCAACCCAAATGATTCTGTGATTTTTCTATTGACCGAAGGCTGTATATACATTTAAACCAACAAGTGTTATTTTGCTGTTAATAGCATATTTAGTATTGGTAATTGCAGCTTTAAACTGTTGCAATTTTTGCATGTGTAAACTGTCTTGGTATTGAAAGTTTCTTGATCCAAATGCTCTGGTGAACCTTTTATTTCAGCCTTGGAACAAATTCTTAGTTTGTGGATAAGCACAAGAATGGTGTGTCTCCATGAAGAATTAAAGAACCTCTGTATGGCATGGGGTTAAGAGTCATGAAATTTAACAAGAGCAAATGCGTGATGTCACAGCTATGATGGAGTAACTCTGGACACAAATATATAAATTGGGAGAGGAGTGGCTGGAAAACAGTCCTACAGAAAGGTATCTGGGGTGCTGGTGGACAACACGTTCCACATCAGTCAGCTGGAGAGAAATGTCATTCTGAGGTGCATCACACGCAGCACAGGCAGATAGTCAGCAGATAGGATTATCCCACTGTATTTAGTGTTGGTGAGGCCTTACTTGGAGCACTATGTGCAGTTATGGGCCCCACAATTTAAGAAGGATATGAATGTTCTTGAATGCATCGAGAGGAGGGCAACTAAGCTGGTGGAAGGGCTAGAAAGCATGTACTGTGGAGGAGCAGCTGAAGATTCTGGTTTATCTAGTTTGGAGAAGAGGCTGAGGGGTGATGGCAGTCATTGCACTCTGCAGCTTCCTGAGGAGGGTGTTTCAGAGGCATTTGGACAATAACCTTAATGACATACAGTTTTTGGTCAACCCAGAAGTGGCCAGGCTCTTGTCTAGATGATCATTGTAGGCCCTTTCCGACTGTAAATATTCTGTTATATTCATAAATGAATATTTTTGAGTGCAAGATGCCAGGTGTATGGTAATTACCTTTTGTTGTTGACTTTTTGTCAGCTTGCTACTAAATCTGTGAATACTTGTAAATATTTCCTAGGACTTTCTGAAGTGTGTTCAGTTCAGTGTGTTAACCCTTCCTTAGCTCGATAAACTGAATATATTAAAAAAACCAAACTTGAATTATAATACTGCTCTTTCTACATCATATTGTATTCTTATACTAGTTGCTTAGATATTTAGCTTGGTGCTTTATTTAGGCTGCTTTATTCAGTTTTTCAAAAATGTATGAGAAGACTAATTTAGTGTAAATTTGCTTTTATTGCTGCCATACAAAAATATTTTGAAATAACTTATTATGATGATATATTTCTGTGCAGGAAAAACACAGGATATTTTTAATTTAATTTAATTATCCTAGTTGTGTGCTAGGATATTGTCTCTTGCAGATGAAATTTCTGATATGAAGCTATAAACTTGTAGTCTAATATATATGGATATTTTAAATGTAAATATCAGGAAAATATGCATATGATTTGTTGAAAACTAAATGAGAATTGGGAAGAATTATTGGATATGTGATCTCAATTCTTTGAGTGGAAGTTCATAAAAAAACCCCAGACTTAAGAAGGGAGAGGTCGGAAAAAATTGTGATTAAAGGCAGGTCAAAAAGAAAATAAATTCAGCTTCTTCATTGGTTTTGTTTTCAGTCTTCATGAAAGTATTGCATAATAGTAATGTACTGTCAACTTCTATTTTTATTAAGCTGCTATCATGCCTCTAAAGAAAGTATGTCTTAAATTTGCACTTTAAGCCTTAGCATTAACTGCCTTGAGAAAATGCATTTTCCCCCTTTAAAATGGTTTAGACCCTCGTTTTCTATGTGTACACAAACTTAAAGCAGATATGATGATTCTTCTAGGTGCTAAATATTTGTAAAAAAAACCAAAGCCAAACCAAACCTTGACGTAACCCTTTTCCTCTGGGGTGTTGCAGTTTTATTTTATCTTTTGCAAATTAAAATTAGAGAGGTTTTGGAAATTTGTGTTGGGTTGTTTCATGGTTTGTTTGTTTGGTTTTTGTTTGTTTGTTTGTTTTTAAAATTTTTTTTCTGGATACTTTATTAAAATTTGACATTTGCAAAAGTGAGAGTGCAACCAAAGTAGGAGGGTGCCATTGTCTAGTGGTTATTCCTAAATGCAAGGTTCTTTATTTGAAATATCATTAACAATTTGATGTGAACTGGAAAAGGAAGTGCATTTTGTCAAATTACAGTAGCTCTGCATCTACCAAAGATGAATATCTCATATTGTTTATTTCTAAAATAAAGTATAATATATCCTTTCTGAGTCAATATTCAGACTCTCTTTAATTATTGTTTTTTAAAATTAGACTTAAAAATGATATTTTGATACTAAAGTTTGTGCATTTCTATAATTTCCTTGAAACAATATTATCTCATTCCAGAACTGTATCTTATAAGCAGAATGGCACCGTTAAAATAGCAGTGCCTTTGCAGAACTGAATTAGTAAATCAAACTGGAATCACTAGGATCATATTTGTATGGAGTACAGTCCTTGCATTGTGCGGAAGCTTTTACAAATCTTAAAATGCTCATAAATGACAAAAGCTGGTACAAAGAGTAGGAATTTGTGTATTTATACTAGTGTACTTGAACTTGTATAATAATTGGGCTTAATTTTTCAAGTTACAGTTACTGGGAAAAATTGTTTTTTTTTTTCCCAGGGTAGTTACAAGTTCTGGAAAGAAAAATGCATGTACTCTCTCATGCATGATATTACAAAGAGAGTAAGACTGTTTTAAAGTCTGACTAGGTGGTTAAAATTGCTTTTTCCTTTACTCTGCATTTAACTGATACCTTTTCCAGTAAGCGATTTCAGCTGCAATGTAATTTTTTCTCAGTCATTCGTTGATAATATTGCACATGTGATGCAGGGCTTACTGCTGCTTTGTTTGCCCCTGTTTTATTTCTTTACCCTCAAGATCTGTAGGATACCAGTAGTGACTCTTAATTTTATTCTTAGACTGTAGGTGTAAGATGCTCCTAGTAAGGGTTTTTGTTCAGTTGTTTTACATGAAGTGGAGTGATGGGGTGCTTTATGACTCAGAAGAGAGGAGACACTGTGGACAGGATTAAGGGGTGTTGAAAATGAGCGTTTTGGGAATGAGGCTTGGGCTGAGAAGATGATCTGTTAGTAGATGCTACAGTCCCTCTGATGCAACAGAGTGGAACCTAGTGGAATTTATCATGGAAAATCAATTTGCAGGTGTACATCTTCCTTTTCAACCATGTAATTTGTCCTAAATGTACGAAAAAAATAAAATCCACAACTGTTTTAATCCATGTATTCTGTTGACCAACCTTCTTCTTTACAAAGTAGAAAGCCTAATAACCTGTATATTTATACATTTAGGAAATGAAGCATCTAAACTAAAGAAACTCCTGGGAAGTTTAGCACTTCAAGCTGTCCACAGCACAGAAAATTCAGCTTTTTAAGAAATGTCTTCACTTAAGGTTTTGTGGGAAGTGGGAAGAAGACAGTTCTCTGAGACCATTGAAAGCAACTTAAATTTCATATTTTCTTTTTGTTAGGTTGGCTGAAGACTTTTGATGATTACTTCAGAGATCAGACACAGCATATTCTAAATAACATGGTCATAAAACTGCAAGAAGACAAACGAAGGAAGTTTATATGGTCTGAGATTTCTTACTTTTCAAAATGGTGGGATGGAATAGACAGCCAAAAAAAGGATGCTGTTAAAAGGTTTGAACACTGAACTATATCTTATCTTCCATGAATCATGATTTGAGACTTTGTGTATTTGAGTATACTGTAAACTTGATATTTCACTTGTTATAATGCAGAATTGCTAGAATAATTGACTACCTCAGTTCTGACTTTTTGGGCTTGGCTTGTTTGTTTTTTTTGTAATGGAGTTGTGACTATAAACTTTATTTGAAGCTACATTAAAGAATTTGCAATGGAATAAAAATAATGTTTCATATTAGCCATTTATGTATGATGTCTTTTCCCTTTGGTTATAACAATTAAGAAATGAGGGTGTTTTTGTTTTAAATATATGTATTTTTTATGAACAGCAGCTTAAGTGGTAAAGTAGTACATGCTCTATATCCTTACTCTTAGTTATTTTTAAAATCACAGGTCAAAATGTAATATAGAATTAAAAGGTTTGCCGAGACATTGAGGCATATGACCTAGTTTGGAATTTTCAGAAAGTGGGAATCGCTGTTTTTACTTTGCTTTAGACAAGATCTAGCAGTCCTTAGCTCATCTTCCTCATGCCCTTCTTCAAGATGCATGTATTGTAGTATTCATCAAGTCTGTGAGATCTCACAGCTGCACAGATTAGGTAATCCTGGAAATCTTGGAAGTTATGTAGAAAACTTTCTTTGAAAATTTGTGTACAATGCGTGAGTATTATAGCACAGCTGTTGTTTCTGAGACAGTAAAAAGATCTCTTGCAACGCAATAAACAACAAATGACAGTCACTAGGGAACTGTGTCCTCTCTTCAGAGGAGTTAGGTGTCGGTTAAGCTGCTGTAAGACCTAGAGAAGCTACATGCAATATTACTTTTGGTGCATGTTTTTCATTACTCTGATGTGTATTATCTATGATGTTTTGATAAATTCACTGTATTTCTTGCTTGATTTCATTAATCATTTATATGATGGTGTACAATATAAGTGCTGAAACTGTAGGGACAATCTGATGCTGGAAGTGTGATCATTATGTTCCTTGACAATAGAGGCACCAGATCATCCTGTGATCTGTTTCAAGAACACATTTTAATGAGTGAGATGGTCTAAAGCCTTTACAGATACAATAAACTTCGAAGTTCTATCGGTTTTTAAAACTCTAAAAAGAATGTTAGATCAAAGACAGAGAGATATTAGTAGTGCTTGAAATGTGCAGTGTCTTGACATCTCATTCAATTGGCTTTCACTACTGTGGCATGTACATTTGGGGTTTTTTTGTAATCTGTGCAGGAAACACCCTTCTTCATGATTAAAAAAATAAATCCAATATTAAGGCACATGCAGTAGAGCTAATTTTCATTGCACAGAGCCACTAAAAGTTTCATTTTTCAACTATTTATTCTTTCCCCATTTGATTAAAGAAATATAGTCCAGTGATGGCAAGCAATTTGGATTTTGGCATTATATCACTGGCAAATACCTATTGGATATACAGAAATTGATTTTTGTGTTTTCATATGGAAGATTCTGAACATAGTTTACATATTTTTCAGGTTAATAAAGGATGGACAATTTGAAATAGTAACAGGAGGATGGGTTATGCCTGATGAAGCCTCTGCTCATTATTTTGCTGTAATTGACCAAATGATAGAAGGACATCAATGGCTAGAAAAGAACCTTGGTACGTACATTGATCCAAAATTAAACTGTGTTCATACAGGTAGTCAAGTAGAAAATACCTTTTAAAATATTTATTTATTCTATTTTGGAGGTGCTTAGAGGGCACTCTTTAGTCTACTTTCTTGAAACATTAAATTAGACCACTTACAGGAAGCTATATAGGATTGCAATTCCTGTTTGCAGAAAGAAGTTCCTGGACAAAGTGTGTGTGAACAATTTTATGTCATTGTCTTGATCAATGTAAGATATACACAGTATATTGGCATAACAAAATATTAACACTAGATCATGCTGAATTTTAGATCCCAAGTCTGGTATCACAATTTCCAATTGCCATTTCTGTCTTTTAAAAATCACGACAAAGGTCTTAAAGTTACTTAAAAGTTGGCATTTCTTTCATGTGTTTGGATCTATTCTGCAGGCTGTGTATTCATTAGGGGCTTGTAAGTAATACTTTCAAAAACACAAATATGAAATTTAGATGTAGCAGTAGTAGTAGTTATAAAACCTAAACCTAATGTAATATTAGAATTAATTGTAGTTTGAAAAAATAAAAAAGCAGATTTTGCAGGTTTAAGGAATCTCTGACTACAGTAACATTCGCTGACTGGCTGGCTGGCCTTAGGATGTTTTTTTTGTTTAGCTCCATTAGTAGAGATTACCCTTTTGTTTATAGGAAATATTTGTACAGTGATTTAAATAATAAATTAACATTGTTTCATCCATTTAACTGAAATTAGTTTGGAAAACTGTTTCATTATGTTTTTCTTAGACTGCAATTTCCATAAACACAGCTTGTTATAATTACTGCGGAGAAGGAAGACCTAAGAAAAGGACAATACATTCCTTACTGTTTTTTTCAAAAGACTTTCAAAGGTGCCAAAGGAACCATGTTGAAGAATCAGTTAAACAAGAGTTAGATGTTTCATTGTTGTTTATTAGTATGAGGAGTACAAGTGTTAGGTTTTTTTATGTAGTTAGACAGAATGCCTTGCTTATAACAATTTTTTTCTTAATTTTTATCTGTGTAATTCTCGCTTGTTAATTCCGAAGTGTGTTCTGCAGGAGGCCTACTATTTAAATGTGTAGGTTCTTGGCAATGTTATCTTCAGTACTCTGATATGAATGATTTGTATATGTTTTTCTGACTGAAAAATGAAACTTTTTTCCCTTTTTACTTTTTCCTTTTGTCAACAGGAGTAAAACCAAAGTCTGCTTGGGCAGTTGATCCTTTTGGGCATTCACCAACAATGGCCTACCTTCTGAAACGCACAGGATTTCCCAATATGCTTATACAAAGAGTTCATTATTCAATCAAAAAACATTTTTCAGCACAAAAGACACTAGAATTTTTTTGGAGACAGAACTGGGGTATGTGTTTCTCATTACATCAGTTTGTTTTGTTAACTTAGACAGGTAAATATGGAGAGAACTTGAGTACATACTATGGAAATTTTTACAGAACAGGTTTAGAGGAGTTAGTCTAGACTTGAAAATCTTAAACTTGCTGTTTTGGTCAAAAAAAAAAGGTCCTTCACCTAGTTTAACTTTTTGGGATTTTTTTCTTTTTTTCCTTTTCCTTTTGTTTTTCTTTTCTTTTTTCTTTTTCTTTTTCTTTTTTTTTTTTTTTTTTAATTCTTTTGGATTAACAGAGAGAATATGAATACCCATGAGTTAAGAAAGGTTAAATATAAAAACTGTACTATTGTTCCTCTGATTTTCCTGTTTCTTCCCCTTCATTTGTACTTTATTTTATTTCAGTTCTGTCATGTTGCTTGCAAGTATAGACAAAACGTAAAAGAGACAGAAAATTCTTTTTCTCGTTTTCACTTCTTTTTTTCTTCCTGCTACTACTGCTTTATTTTCTACAAATTCAAATGTTGTGCTAATGATGTAATGACAGCAGGGTGATTTGGTTTTGTTTTGTTTTGTGTTTGGGTTGTTTTTTTTCTTTTTAATTGTTGTTTTGATTCACTCAAAGTTTAAAATATGTGTATTGTTACCTCTAAAATTCTGAAAATCATGAATTTTATCTGAGTAAAAAAAATCCTAATATTTTGTTCCTGTCTTTCCCAATCAACTGGTGCTTGATTAGACGATTCCAGTTTTGGTTATATTTCTGGTTTTGCCCTCTTTATTTGTAGGGTACATACAAAGGTAGACTCCAGGTACTGATATTCAAAATAAGAAATTGTCTTATCTGATGGTGTTAGTACAATTCTTGGATTGAGAATATAGAACTAATTTAGTTTTGGCAAATCTGAGGATGATTATTTCAAAGGTGTACTCTATGTATTTAATTCCAGATTTGGGATCCAGTACAGATATTCTTTGTCATATGATGCCTTTCTATAGCTATGATATTCCCCATACTTGTGGTCCGGATCCGAAAATCTGCTGCCAGTTTGATTTCAAACGTCTTCCCGGAGGAAGAATAAGTTGTCCTTGGAGAGTTCCACCAGAAGCCATTCATGCTGGAAATGTTCAACACAGGTACAGTTTTTACATATTCTTTAAGGGAGTAATTGTAAAAAAAGTAATTGTGCTGGTCAAAGATGCTTCATATTTACCAAGCATAGCTTGATGAATTTATGTAGTTGTGCTTTGACCCCAGAGAACAGCTCAGCTCCACACAGCTACTTCCTAACTGCCCCCATGGTGAGATGAGGGAGAGAATCAGAAGGGTAAAGTGAGAAAACTCATGGATTGCGATACAGACAGTTTAATAGGGAAAGCGAAAAGACACACAAGCAAAGCAAAACAAAGAATTCATTCACCCCTTCCCATGGGCCTGCAGATTTCCAGATACCTTCTTTCCTCGGCTTTATATATTGAGCATGACATCATAAGTTACAGATTATCCCTTTAGTCAGTTGAGGTCAGTTGTTCCAGCTGTGTCCCATCCCAATTTCTTATGTACCCCCAGCCTGCTCACTGGTGGGTGGGGTGAGAAAGCCCTTGTTCCCGTTCAAGCACTGCTCAGCAGTAACTAAAACATCTCTGTATTGCTAACCCTGTTATCAGCACAAATCCAAAACACAGCCCCATACTAGCTACTGTGAAGAAAATTAACTCTACCCCAACCCAAACCAGCACAAGTTCTTAAAATAAGCTTGTAGGAAAACTCCTATTACTTCACCTAGTGTTTGCTCCTTAGTTGAGAACATAATTGTCAGTGAAATTTGAAGGAAGTTTATAGTAAAGGAAGATGCTTTTTTTTCCAATTTTTATTCATGATACATGAGTCTATCTCTGAATGACAGGCAGAACATAGTAATCTGTTTGGCTGTAGCTGTGTTACTGGTTTACTGTAGTTTTTGCAAATTTTATGAACAGTGATTTTTCTCCTGCAAGTAGAACACTTCAGGGACAGCATGGTGTAGTATGCTGAAACTGCAAACAGTGAGATATTTCCCATAGTATATCCTTGAAAAACTTGACAATCTGTGGCCTAGGTTTCTTGAGGTACACAGTTGAAGTGAATTTTAGTCCTATGTCTTATGTACCAAGGCCAGGAAATCCTGTTAACTTCAGTTTGAATTTTCAAATGGAAATACTGAGTTGATTTTCCACGGTTAAGAATCAAGTTTACAGTGTTACAAAACTGCTTTTCAATTTTGGTAGGGGGACAGGGGGAAGAAATAAAAACAAAAAGAGAAAAAAATATAGGGAAGCTAGGGCTGCCAGAGGTTTTTCCAGGAGATGGTTGTATTCTAGGGTCCTGTTGCTATCTTCAGGCCTTCAAACTAATCCAGATTTCCAGAGTTAGAAATTGTCATGGTGTAACTCCAGCTACCAACCAAGAACCGCGCAGCCGCTCGCTCACTTTGACATGGAGAAAGAACAATTTCTTTTACAAGGACTAATTTAGGTTGTTATGCAAAGGTTGCATCTAGGAAGTTCAACAATAAAGTAAGATCTAATAAAAAAAGACTCTCAAATAAAGCATTCCAAGCAGGCTCTCAACATTATATTTAGAGCCTCTGTGTTTCAGGTATTTTTTAAACAAACTGTTACTTTACTCTGTCTGAGCTAATTGGGATACATAGCCAAGATTCTTCTTTTAACAAATGCAATGTAAAAATGTATGAGCTTTCCTCTGTATTCGATAAACTAGTAGGATTGGGGAGAGAATCGGAAGGGTAGGAGCTAGAACACTTGTGCGTTGAGTTAAAGACAGTTTAATAGGCAAAGCAAAAGTGCCACACACAAGTAAAGCAAAACAAGGAATTATTTCACTGCTTCTCATGGGCAGGAGGTGTTCAGCCATCCCCAGGAGAGCAGGGCCCCATCACACATAAAGGTTACTTGGGCAGACAAATGCCATGACACCAAATGTCCCTCCCTTCCTTCTTCTTCATCCCACTTTATATACTGTGAGTGATGTCATATGGTATGGAATATCCCTTTGGTCAGTTTGGGTCACCTGTCCTACCTGTGTCTCCTCCCAAGCTCCCATGCACCGCCAACTTCCTTGCCAGCGTGACAGTATGGAAAGCAGAGAGGGCCTTGGCTCTGTGTAAGCTTTGCTCATCAGTAACAAAAACATCTCTATATTATCTACCCTGTGTTCAGCACAAATCCAAAACACAGACCCATACTAGCCACTGTGAAGAAAATTAATTCTACCCCAGCCTAAAAAGCAAGCACAGAAATTTAGGTAGATGTTTACAGTTAGTGCAAATTGCTGAGTATAGCAAATGTATTAAGGATACCAGGGTGACTTTTGGTTCTTTATGGTGAAGTTTTGAAGTGGTGATATGATGAGGATGCATTGGTTATCTACATGTCAAACAGGCACCTCTTTTTTTTTGGACTATAAATTTTGAAAAGCATTGTGAAAACTTTGCCATTAAATCCAGTTACAAAATGTTATTGAAGATAAATCCAAAATAAAACAGAATGCATTAGATTTATCATATTCTAAGGTAGAAATTGAAGTGATGATAGGAAGAAGTAACCATACCTGTTTTTTTAATGTAGAAAAATGAAAGTGGATAGTGACAGGAGAAAAGTAGAGGTAATAGAAGAATTGTAATGATATGCCTAACGCTTATCAAATATGAAGGAAAGCTCATATATCTTTACATTGAGTTTGTAAAAAGAAGAATCTTAGTTATATATCCCAATTTGCCAAGACAAATATTTGTAGAAAAGTAACAGTTTGTTTAGCAAATGGCCGAAACATAGAGGCTCTAAATATAATGTAGAGAGCCTGCTTGGAATGCCTTTTTTTTTTTTAGGGTCTTTTGTTTAATTAGATCTTACTTTACTATTGAACTTCCTAGATGCAACCTTTGCATAACAGTCTAAATTAGTCCTTGTAAAAGAAATGATTCGTTCACCATTTCAAAGGATAGGAAAGAATAACATAAATGGGGCAGGTGTGGAGTGATATGATCAAGTTGGAGATTATCATCTCAATATATAGTCTCTAAAACTTTGTCTTTTGCATCAGCTTTTGGTGCATAAAAACAGTTTTGGTGTCTAACAGGGAGTTGAAACCGCAGTATGCTAGATGATACATAGGGAAAAAGTGAAAATAGCACATGATCTTTGGGTTGGGAGCCTGGATTATTTACATTTGGAATACAGAAACCACACCTTTAGTGTCTAGTTTCAACAAATCCCCTAAAACACAGGAAGTAATGTTTTGGTGGAGAACGCTAAAATATTATCTATATTATATGGAAAAGTTGGAATATTATAGGCAGCCAAAAACTTCTTTGATCTGACCTCTGTAAAAACAGGTTTTACAGTTATGATGAGATGTATGAGTTCCAAAAGTAATTGGACAATCTGTCTTTACATCATAAGCTTTCCAAGGTGAAAGGTTTGTAGCACGCTAATTAGTCTATCTCATCTGTGATTGCTTTAATACTGGAAAAATACTGTCCAGATGGATTTGAAAAAAAAAGTTCATTATTTTAGAGGCCACATTTAAATCACTGACCTTTATTCAATGCTAAATTTGCCACAAAATTAATAAAACCGCAATCCTGACTACTCAGCTGGGACGGTTGCTTTTGATTTCAATACTATTATGGCGTCACATATATATTAAAGAGGTATTGAATTGAAAACTTCAGACTAGTAGTTGCTGGTTTTTTCATTGCCTTGCCACTTGAATTGGACTTGGTAAGGAGGAATAAAACAGCAACCTAATTGACAACGTGTACTTGTTTAATTACACTTTGTAATAGCTTAGATTGTAAAGTTTTCTATTGCACTTGCCTTGACTTGCAGCTGCATACTTATTCATATGTTTGAATCCTGAAGCCTTTCACACTAGGAATTAGAAACAGCTGTTGGTTTTTTGTCTGCTTTTTTTTTCCTGCTTGAACTGGAACGAGTTGTTTTGTTAGCAGAAATACAGTTTGTTGTGGTGTATGTCTCTCTCTCTCTTCCATGCATGGAAATAGGAAAGAATCTGTAGTGCAAGTTATGCACTTAAGGGAAGGAGTAGAAAATGGACTTTTCCCTTCACCAATTGGTGTTCAAGAGCCCAGTTTTGCCCTTCAGCTTTTTCCTGTTTATGACTGGTCACACTGCACAACATGCAATTGGTGCTCAGAATTACGTTGCTGATGTAGCATGGGTGGTTAATATTTGTGATTGCCTAACTTAAGAATCTGAGATCACTCTCCCAGGAAGTACCCATCCTGTCTACATAGCCATCTCCTCCACAAAATTACCTGAACAGAAAATTTCCAGGCTACCAAATGGTTTAGTTTTCTAATCGAGATAATTGTGCAAAGAGAGAGTCCCTAATGCTCTGTGGGATGACATAGTAGGGACTGTGAAGCCAGACCTGTCTGTCATATAGAACTTATTACAGCTGCTGCAAAATTTCATGCGATTCCCACAGACTCTGGGTGGCTATTGCTCCTCCTCCTTTGACATAGGAAGGGACAAAACCAGCCATGTTGATTGTTTTGGTATGTATTTCACCAAATGCTTCATTTTTTTGCATTAAAAGAACACACTTGAGATACGACAGGGTTTTCTTTATTTGTGAAAGGTCTCAGGCATTCAATGATGATCTGAAAGTTTGAAACCAAAAAGTTTATCATAGCTGATCTCCTTGGTTTTCAAATTTTCATACTGGTAGGCAGGATAAACATGTATCAAAATGTATCTGTTTCAGACTGCTGTTTCACTGTGGAACAATAAAGGCAAAAAAATTGGTGATACTCATTGAAATCCCTTTTTTTCCTCTAGAAGTATTTATCATCTTTACCAAACTCTGTTTGGCACTTTCTGCTGACTCTCACTCCTGTATGAAGTAATGCTTTAGGATGTTATTTGAGAGAAACTTAAAAGGATCTACCTGACTTGAGATATCTAATTTTTCTTTGGTATTTTTGCAATTGAAAGTGGTCTACAATGGAGGGATAACCTGTATCACCCCTAAAAACATCTATATAATCTCACAGTTATGAGTACTTTGAAGAAAGGGACAACAGCAATACCAGTTAATTTTGCAGCAGATATCGGAAAGAGGCTAGAGAAGGACTTTGAAGAGAAATGTCAAAGTCAAATATCCTATCAACTGTAACCTGTATTTTTCAAGAGATTCAAAAATAAAGTATGTTTCCAACCATAGGCTACATGTGGAAAATTTTAGTTAGACTGGCTTCTTGGAAGGAAGAATTTCAGTCTTGTGTTGTGCCAGTTGTTCTGGTACCTATATGGTGAGGAAGTTTTTGCCTTTAAATCTACAACCTGTTGAAAGTCATGGAAAGTATTGATTCAAGAATAAGTACTTGGTAATCTGAACTATAAATCAAATAATAGACAGGGAATGGGAGAAAGCCACTAGCAGGGTAAATTGTAGTCTCAGTAGAACTCTGTAGATCCTTTAATGTAAGTTAATGTTGTGGCCCATTTCTCCCTTCAGAATACAGTCAGACCTTGTGTTTACTCAGTACTTCTATAATCTGATAAATAAATGAGCCCTGACATGCTGTTCAAAGAGATAAGGGTTTAAAATATACTGAACATAGACTATTTGATATATCTAGAATTTTCATGTAAATACTTATATAGCAAATCTTAAATAGTATGAGTTGAAAGTTGATTTTTGTAGACTATCATTTCAAAAGAGATGTAGAAACAAAAAGCTCACTGGAATCTGGATTTTCTGCTACTTTCTCTTTAAAACTTTTCATTTGTACTCCTGTTTTCTTAAACATGTAGCTATGGTTTGTATTTCCTATGGATATTATGTACATGATTTTAATTAGAGGGGAACAACATCTGAAGATGTTGATAATGATTGTGATTTGGAGGGGGAGGAGGGGAAATGAACTTTTTCCATAACCTAGACATCAGACTTGTGATTTTTAATATATTGCTGCTTAATGACAGAACTGATATTTTTCACATCCAAGAGTTAGTATCTGGCAAAGGATAATTCTGCAATTTTTCTCT